CCTACTTCCGTAGTGATACTGCCTCGGAAACCCAAGGAGGGGTCGCTATGAGTCGGGGCCGACTCGACGGCACATAACAACAACAACAACAATGCATTATATAAAACTATGTTTTATTGCTGAACCCTTTAAATATTAGTAAACATTTGAGATATATTTAAATTTCACACATATTGCTGAATTTTTCTTTTAAATGATAAAATTTGAGCATTTTGATTTATAGGTGCAAATCTTTTTATCTTGGTAGTATTGAAGTATATACAGATCTGTAATTTATCTTTTAAAAAAACTGTTTTGTTTTGTTTTTATAAGATGAAAAGAGGCTTGATTAGTACTCCTCCATCAGATATGCTTCCTACCACCGAAAGTGGAAAGTCAAATGCCTGGTTACGGCAAAAAAATGCTGGTATATATGTTCGCCCTCGACTGTTCTCCCCCTACGTGGAAGAAGCAAAGGTAATGACAGCCTTTTAGGATATTAGACCTGCTTTGTTACCAACTGCGTGTGCAGCCAGCGATGCTTATCGTGGTATTATTTCAATATTTGGAAATAGCTTAAACATGCACTCATAGAGAAAGTGAAAGTAAATTCTTGTCTGACTATGCAACAGAATAATGTGCTTAGTGCTTTGTTCTCCCACCTAGTTTTTGAAAATGTTTAATTATCAGATGTTTTCAAAGTTTAGATCATGTTAAAATGAGTTTAATTTTTCTCACTGTAGTTACCTTGTAAATTTTTAACTTGGAGGAAAAATGTCATTTTACCAAATAGTTGTATTTTGTATTCTTGAGGATGGGAAAAAGGTTCTAAAGGAAGACTGCATGCCTTATGCCTTCCATGGTAAGCTTAAAAAAATGCAAGGCTTCTTGTAACTTGTTTCAATAAGAGCTGCCTGTTGGGAATTGTGTTTGGTTTTCTAATAAATGTTCAAACTAAGACAGAATTTGAGGCCCATTATGTACATAATTGGCATTATGTGTGTTATAACTAAAGACTTCTCCAAGAAAATATGATATTTTGAAAATGAAATTCTGTAATTTTTATTAGATGCATTCTAACACAGGAAGTTTGAATTGATCTTTTGCAGGACTGACAGTTTTAGAGAGTCAGAAATAACCATTTAACTTTCTGAAACAAATGAAAAAGGCAGAACAATTTGGATGTAAAAGTAACTTGCCCTTAAAAAACCTCATTTTTATTGTCAAGGGTTTGTAGTTTAATATATTTATCCCACACACCCCCAAAGAAGCGTAGCTGCTGAAGCTGCTGTGTACAACCAAATACCTCATGGGATTTAGTTCCTTGGGTTGGAGGTTTCGAGTCATGGTTTCATGGGACATCCTAGTTAATTAGCCTAATAACATGTTTAGTGCTTTTGTTTTACCTCCTAGTTCATTGCCAAGTGTCTGGGTTCTTAAATACTTGCAAGGGACCATCCAAGGCACAACAGTCGCTTTCTAATCACTTGGAATAGCAGAGAAAGTAGAGTCAGGAATAGAAGGAGGATAGTGGAATGTGTGGCTCATTGACTCCATGAGCGACTACCTCCTTTCACCATGAGACTAGAACTGGATGGTGCCTGGCTACCATTACTGAACATTTTGAACAAAAATTCCATAGAAGAATCTTGACCAAAAGGGGGAAAATGTAGAACATAATTTCAGTTTCTCATGGACTCTAGACTTTCTGGAGCCATAGAGACTAGATGAACTCCTGAAATGACTGCCCTGTGATAATCTTTAAACTGTAAATCAAAAATACTCCCTGAAGTCTTAAAACCAAACAGTAGTTTAGCGTAACTAATAAAAACGGTCTGCCTTGAGCATTTTAGCGTAACTAATAAAAACGTTCTGCTTTGAGCATTATACTCTTTTAAGAACTGTATGTATGAATCAGATTGGTAGTAGCAGTTGGAAAGATGAGACAGAAACCTGAGGAGGTGGTGAGTTGACATTAATGGGGGACGAACCACACAGAAAAGGAGGGCAGGAACGGCTGCACAACTGAAAGAGTGTCGTCCGCGTCCCTGAACTGCACCTGCAGAGACTGTTGAAGTGCTGTGCGTTTTGCTGTGTATATTGTAAGCAAAAAAATGAAAGTTAAAGGAAGAAGAGGTTTCTAGTTTAAGATATATGAAAGGGTTTGAGGAAAGTTTACCTTATTGAATGAATTAGATTTAAAAGCAAATTCTTACTGAGTAGTTGGCAATTTAAATAGTTCTGAAATTTATGTGGAAAAAACAGAACAGTTGGGTGTGATCTTTCTGAAACTGGTTCAGTACTTAGGCCCTTGGACATCCAGAAGCTTCCATAAGAGCTTGATGAAAGATCTGTAAGAAACTGCATGTCACCTCCATCCTCCTGTGTCTCAGAATGGGACTGTGGAGAGCTAGTCAGACAGTCCTCCTTGGAGCCCCCGTGTTGCTCAGACAGCTCTGCCCGCCCCCAGGTAGACAGCTGGCCATTCTGCAGTGTGGTGAGAGATTCATCTGAAACTAATTTAACAAAATTGGGTTTATTTTGTAAGTCTGCTAATTTAATATTAATCTTTGTTTTTTATTTTAAGCATTTTTCAGTGGATTTCATTGTAACTCATGTTCATATTGTTTTCTTTATAGTATTTTTATGTATAACTTATTTCTGATTAATATCCCCCCATCAAATTTCAAATACTTCAGTTGAAAGCAAACTTTTCATATTATTATTTCTTTTCAGAGATGCTTTAAAAAGATTCCTTGAAAATTAAAGAAGTAGAGGTACTTTCTCCTTTCCCCACTAATTTTAAACTTCATAAACTAGAGACAGTAAACTTCCATTTCCTATGATGAAGGTAGTAATCTTCAGCCAAGTGTGATTTAACGTAAGTGACAAGTTGACTAACTCTATTAATCCTGAATTACTATTTCAGTCAGTGCTAGACGAGATGATGGTGGAACAGACAGACCTTGTGCGTTTGCGAATGGTTAGAATGTCCAATGTGCCAGACACACTGTACATGGTCAGCAATGCTATGCCACAGTGCTGTCACATGATCAGCCACCAGCAGATCAGCAGTAACCAGTCAAGCCCTCCTTCAGTCGTAGCCAATGAAATCCCAGGTAAGGTAGTAGCTTTTCATCAGGCTTTTATATTTACATAATTTTATGTATAATTTTATAGTTTTTTTTATTTCTAATGTTTGAACTCCTTTATATATGCTAATTCTCTCCACATTTCAATACCCATTATGCCTTTTTCTCTACTTACAAGCTAAGATTTTTGTTTCATGTTTTATTTTACAATAACAAGTAAATGCAATTCCAAAGTTCAGAGCAAAACTTTTTAACCTTGGCTCTAATGACATTTCCAAATCCCATTGCCATTAAGTTGAGACCGACCCATAGCAACCTTGTAGGACAAAGTAGAGCTGCCCCTTAGGGTTTCCAAGGCTGTGAATCTATACAGAAGCAGACTGCCACTTCTTTTTCCTGCAGAGCAGCTGGTGGGTTGGAACCACCAACCTTGCGGTTAGCAGCCGAGCTCTTAACCACTGCGCCATCAAGGTTCCTAGTAACATTTAGGGCTGTTGTTGTTGTTGTTGTTATTTGCCGTCGAGTCGGCCCGACTCATAGCGACCCCTCCCTGGGTTTCCGAGGCAGTATCACTACGGAAGTAGGATTGCCCAACCTTCCTTTGTATCATTCTATATTTTCAGTAGATGCCACCCCAGCATCAAAATGCGACAAGCAAAAATGTTTCTTAAAAAAAAAAAACTCACTGTGGTCGAGTCACATCCAACTCATAGTCACCCCTCCTTAGGTTTCTGAGGCAGTATATCTGTGGAAGTAGATTGCCCAGTCTTCCTTCTGAGGAGTGGCTGGTGGGTTTGAACCAACTGCCAGCCTTCTGGTTAACAGTCAGATATGCTCTGTGAGGCAAAACCATCCCCTATGTAGAACCATTGGTTTAGCGGAATTCAGATTTTTTTGTCACTCTAGGATATTTCTCACCTTATAAGACCTATTGGGAAGGTAATATGAATTTGTACCTGGGTGAGGTAGTTCTGTGAACAGACATATGCTCAGAAAGAATGTGATGCCCATTGGTTTTCTGGAGATCTAGTTTCTCAAGATCTGCTCGGTGAAGTTTATTTCAGGGCAGTCATATGTCTTATTGTTGTTGTTAGGTGCCGTCGAGTCAGCACTGACTCATAGCGACCCTGTACAACAGAATGAAACACTACCTAGTCCTGCACCATCCTCACAATATTTGCTTAAGCCTATCCTCACAGCCACTGTGTCAGTCCATCCCTTCAAGGGGCTTCTCCTTTTTGCTGACCATCCCCTTTACCAAGCATGATACCCTTCTGCAGGGACCAGTCCCTTCTGGCAACATGACCAAAGTACGTGAAACAAAGTCTGGCCATGCTTGCTTCTGAGGAGCATTTCAGCTACCTCCTTCCAAGACAGGTGTGTGTGTTCTTCTGGTGGTCTGTGATATTTTCAGTACTCTTCACCAGCACCACAATTCAAAGGCATCAAGTCTTAGAACAGAACATTTCTTCCTTATTTGTTGTCAGCAATTCCTAAGCATATAAGGTGACCAAAAATACCATGGCTTGGGTCAGACACACCTTAATCTTCAAAGTAACATCTTTGCTCTTTAAACAGAAATTTTTTGCAGCAGATTTTCCCAGTGCACTACATCGTCTGATGTCCTGACTGCTGCTTCCATGGGTGTTGATGGTGGACCCAAGTAAAATGAAATCCTTGACAACTTCACTCTTCTCTCTGTTTATCGTGGTGTTGCTTGTTGGTCCAATTGTGAGGCTTTTTGTTTATGCTGAGGTGTAACCCATACTGAAAACTGTCATCTTTGATCTTCATCAGTAAGTGCTTCAAGTCCTCTTTACTTTCAGCAAGCAAGGTTGTGACATCTGCATATCACAGGTTGTTAATGAGTCTTCCTTCAATCCTGATGCCACATTCTTCTTCATATAGTCCAGCTTCTCACGTTGTTTGCTCAGCATACAGACTGAATAAATACGGTGAAAGGATACAGTCCTGACTCACACCTTTTTTTATTTTAAATCACATAGTATCCCCTTGTTCTGTTCCAAGGACTGGCTCTTAGTCTATGTTCAGGTTCCTTTTGCACACAGTGAAGTATTGTGGAATTCCTTTTCTTTGTTATGGTCCATACAGTCGAATGCTTTTGCATAGTCAATAAAACAGAAGTATAAACATCTTTGCTTTCAGCCAAAATCTGTCTGACATCAGCAGTGATATTCCTCGTCCCATGTCCTCTTCTGAATCCAGCCTGCATTTCTGGAAGTTCCCTGTCAATGTACTGCTGAAACTGTTTTTGAATTATTTTCAGCAGGATTTTACTTGCATGTGATATTAATGATATTGTTTTATAATTTCTACATTCTGTGGGATCACCTTTCTTTGGAATGGGTATAATTATGGATCTCTTCCAGTCAGTTGGTCAGGTAGCTGTCTTCCAAATTTCTTGGCATAGACAAGTGAGTGCCTCCAGTGCAGCATCCATTTGTTGAAACATCTCAATTCCTGCAACTTTGTTTTTTGCCAATTCCTTCAGTGCAGCTTCGACTTCTTCCTTCAGTACCATTGGTTATTGATTATGTTCTACCTCCTGAAATTGATGAACATCATCCAGTTCTTTCTGGAACAGTGACTCTGTGTATCCTTCCAACTTCTTTTGAGGTTGTTCTTTTGATGCTTCCTGCATCGTTCCATATTTTTCCCATAGACTCTTCAATATTGCAGCTCAAGGCTTGAATTTTTCCTTCAATTCTTTCAGCTTGAGAAATACCAAGCGTGTTCTTCCCTTTTAGTTTTCTAACTCCAGGTCTTTGCATGTTCATTTATAGTAATTGGCTTTGTCCACTCGAGCTGCTCTTTGAACTCTTCTGTTCAGCTCTTTTATCTTGTCATTTTTTCCATTTGCTTTAGCTATTCTCCATTCAAGAGCAAGTTTCAGAGTCTCT